GATAATAGTGTGTCAGTGGTTTAATGGCACAGTTGTCTGAAATAATAGCTCAGAACAAGGATCAGACTCTCACATCTGTATGAAGTGTGCCATAACTACTTGAAGAATTTGTCTTAGAAAAAGAAACTAAGCTCACTAGCATGTGCAGAGTCACAAAATTAACTGCCTGAAATTTCCTTTATAGGTACCATTTGCTAAAAACATTTATGGGCTCATAGCACCAACTTTTGGAGTTGGATTTGCCATTGGTAAGAAAATCTACAATGATTTTTTACAATCTGTTGTTTATGTAAAAATTATTTTATATGAAGTTACATGGAAAATTGGTTTTGTTGCCATTCTGATCTAAGAGTAGTGAAGCCTGAGCTGTGGCCTAGACTGGTAAGTAGAGCAAGAAGAATTGAAGGACAGTGGTCAGGGAGTTTGAACCAGGCTGCTTTAGACGAGGTGGATTCCCATGTCTGTCCAGAATTGCTCCATCAACCAAAACGGATCTTTCAAACTGTCCATGAGTGTAAACATTGTTTTTGGAAATGAACCCACAGTCTGCCCTTTTGTGGAACAAAACAGGAAAAAAAAAGCAGGCTTAAGTTTTTGTACCAAGCCCACACACATGTACTCAAGGGGTATGTGTGAGCTTTGCTTACGCTGGACCATGCAGGCTGGAGTAGGGACCATGGCTTGGTTTCCAGTGCTTGGCTGGTCAGCAAATGTTTTGAGGCATCTTCACACACTAGGGATGTGTAGCTCGGAAAGAAGTTACAGGCACAACTACAAATCCCCAGCATCTCAGCAGTTTTATAGAATCATAGAATCAACCTGGTTGGAAGAGACCTCCAAGACCATCGAGTCCAACCCTACTGTCATTACTAGACCATGGCACTAAGTGCCACATCCAGTCTCAGCTTGAAAACCTCCAGGGATGGTGAATCCACCACCTCCCTGGGCAGCACATTCCAATGCCTGATCACTCTCTGTAAAAAAATCTCTTCCTAATATCCAACCTAACCCTCCCCTGGCAGAGCTTGAGTCTGTGCCCTCTTGTCCTGCTGCTGGTTGCCTGGGAGAAGAGACCAACCCCCACCTGACTCCAACCTCCTGTCAGGGAGTTGCAGAGGGTGATAAGGTCTCCCCTGAGCCTCCTCTTCTCCAGGCTGAACACCCCCAGCTCCCTCAGCCTCTCCTCATGGCACTTGTGCTCGAGTCCCTTCCCCAGCCTCGTTGCTCTTCTCTGGACCTGCACCAGCACCTCAATGTCCCTCCTGAGCTGAGGGGCCCAGAGCTGTACTTTCGTCAGCTGTCTGTGCTGTTTCTTGCAAGCAATGAAGGTGTGGCTCAGAAGACATGATAAAACCACCATAAATAATTTTGATTGACTGGAGGCTAATGCAATCTTTTAGGCCCACAGTAAGTGAAGTTCGTACCAAATAACTTTCCCCTAAATAAAAGCTGCTTGGCTGGTAATGTGAGATTGGGAGCCTGTGCACAGATAGCTGCTGGGGAGTGGTGGATACACTCTAAACTTGCATCTCTCTTGTCCTCTGGCAAGTGTTAGGTGTACACATATAGACATATCCATACATGACCTTGGACACAGTAAAGACCATAAAAGGCAAAGATAATGCAGATTATTTTTACATAAAATCTTTTTCTTAGTTAAGAATAAGCATCCTTTTACCTTTCTTTGCATCCCTTCTTAGCACAGAGGTGGCCAAGACATGAAAAAAAGGCAAAAAAGAGGCAGTACTTTCCTAAAATATCTTTTCCTCTCACACAACCAGGCATGGTGGACTCCTCCATGATGCCAATCATGGGCTACCTCGTAGACCTGCGACATGTGTCAGTCTATGGCAGTGTGTATGCAATAGCTGATGTTGCCTTCTGCATGGGCTTTGCCATAGGTAAGTCCAACCTTTTCCTGCCTGTAAAGCAGAGTTAAGAAAAGGGAATCTGCCACGATGCCAGGTGTGAATCCTAGTGGCATTTGCAGGCTTTATGAGCCAAGGTTCTTATGTTCTGCAGGAAATCAAAGCAGAGGGAATTGTGTTTGGCATCTGTTCCCCACCTCTGCCACGATGTCATGCTCACTTCATTAGCTGTGAGAGGCTTGAAGGTGTCAAGCACTGAACACAAATAGGGTATCCCTAGGAAAGAGGCCTTGGAATGTTTAAAACTAATACCACAGCTGTGCTCTTAATAGTCTGTGAGGGGAATAACTCCCCACTGACCCCCCCTGCCTCCTTGAGTGCATGATACAGATGCCCTTAGGAGCATCTCTGATTTCCTAAATGAGTGTGGAGTATAGAGCCAGGAAATTTTTATGTTATAATTACAAACATGTCTTTGCATTCCTCAAATCAATTTGTAAAGCAGGAGTTTTGTGTGTAAAATTACTGTTGTTTAAAGTGACTGCTGCGAATTTTGTGTCTGAGCAACCTCCAGAAAAGGGTTTTTATCTATACAAGGTCCTTCTGCTGGTGGTGCCATTGCAAAGGCCATTGGATTCCCATGGCTCATGACAATTATAGGGATTGTGGATATCCTCTTCGCTCCCCTGTGCTTTTTCCTTCGAAGTCCACCTGCCAAAGAGGAGAAAATGGTAAGCATGACATGGTTTTTATTTTGGTTTGGGTTTTTCCAGTGGAACAAATGATAACTTATTTCTGCATCTTTGCCTCTAACTTCCCCCAAAATGGAACCAGCATGGTATCTTTTACCCTCATGCATCATCTTTGGAATGAACTCCCCCTTCTTTTTATAGCCCAGATGTATAAAGAAAAGATTTTTATTAGTTGCATTTTAGAAAGTCACAGATTTTATTATCATGAAACAAGGTCCAGCAACATTCCTCTGCACCAGCATATACTATGGTGGAGTCAGTATAAAATGCATTTTTGTTCTCCTTGAAGAGACAGAACTGTATTGATCAATTGACTAAATTGTCCCTTGGTGTGCTTTAACTTCTTTTTTTCCCCCCATGGTTCTCTACAGTATATTTTGCATCTTTTTTTTCCTCCTCTTTCTTCCTTCTCCTTTTTCCTCCTTACAGTTCACATATCCCACAGGTGATTTCTCTTATCCAATTTGTGCCACAGGTCCTCTCTATTTAAAAAAAAAAAGTTAGTAATTTACTTCAGTCAGTCAGTGCTCCCCAGCCAATGCATAGTGTATGAAAAGAGTGATACTGGGCCAGATCAGCATCTTGCCCAGTCCCTGCAGCCTGCAGAGAGTCTTTAGGGATGAGTCTCAGAGCAGGCAAATGTGTTCTGAAACATCCCGAAATTTATGGGCTAAGAGGCCTAAGTCAAAAGTGACACAGCCTTTAACACACTTTTCCCCCACCTGCTCTCTGAGTAAACCTAAGTCTGCTTTCCATAAGACCTGGAGTGAGGAGTTCCTCTGCTTAGCTCCTGAGTTCTGCCCCAGGATACTTGTGATTGTGCTTGCAGAGATGTTTCACTCCTTCACTCCTCACTGCTTACTCTTTGCTTAGCCTGTCATCCAGAAAAACAGCAGATTCACGCTTTGATTTTGGTAGTCCTCTTCCTTTATTTCCCCTCCTATACCATTCTCCCCTCTCCCTTCCTTTCCTATTTCTGTAGCTCAGTTTGTGCTTTCCTTTACCTGCTCTCCTACTCTGTGGTTGCAAGACTTGCTGTTCCCACAGCCTTACACTCAGTGAGGTCCCAAAACCCTCCTGCAGGACCCATGCTTTGCTCTCTAGGCTTCTTCTGCTCAGCAAGAAGATGGGAAGCTCCCAAAAGAATTCCAAGGCAGTGCAGTTAGTAGGCAGAACAATCCATGCTGTGATTTCAGGGCTGGAAAAATCCTGGCAAGCAAGTACCAATCTTTGCTGTGCTATTCATCACCATCTGTAGGTTCAGCCCACCCAGAGCTCCATCCTTGCTTTCTCTTTCTGAACAAGGCTGACTTGGGCCCAGACTGTAGTTTCTAGTTGTTTATTCAGGTAAAAAGAAACTTATTTTGCACGGTCATGGTCTTGCTGTGCAGCACCACATTTCTGCCAGGTAAGGACAGCACCTGCTGCATATGCTGCTCACACTTTGTACTGGCAGGAGCATAAAATGTGGAAAATTGAATCTTGCTGAAATAGTGGTGTATGTGAGGCCAGAAACCTTTGGTTTTGCACATATTTGGACTGCAGAATCCCAGAGATTCCAGTTAATCCCTTGTCATGACCTTTGCTGACTGCGCTGGTTTAGTTTGTTTTGGTTTTTTTACATTGACTGAGGCTGAGGAAGAGAAAGAAAACAACCAAACGAAAGCTGTTTGCTGATGATATGAAGTTTACCATGTGGTTCCCTGGTCACTGGTAGAGTAGTACTTGCAGCATGGCAGTCCCTGAAGGGACAGGATCTCTCCCCATGGCTCAAACATCTTCCAGCGTTTGCCACCTCTAACGTAGCTTTAAATGCAAAGTAACTCCTGTTCCCTAAGTGGCTTCTGGCAGTGAACTGAGGTGCCATTTCCTTTGGATTTAAAGAGAGTGAAAAGGAGGGTCCCAGCATTGTGCTCTCCCCATAATTAATTAAAAACTGAACTTAATCACGTTCAGCATACAATATTCGACACAAGTGCTCCAAAACTGCTTGGAAAAATGAATCCCAAAGAACATTAACATTGTAGGTGGCTGCTGACCATGATGATCACTCTTAGCTTGCCATGGGTGGCAGGGCACAGTGTTTGGACCATGACTCTCAGCATTACTCTGTCATGCTGCTCTGGACCTCTACAAAAAGGGGTGGTGGGGAGAAAAGTAGTAAAGGAGGCTTGGCTTGAGGCAATGGGATTCCTCTTGATCATTCATCCAGCTTTTAATAGATGGAGATTAAACATAGAAGAGGTAAACTACTGGAGAGCAGGAGGATGTATGTCAGTATGCACAGGCTCAAATACTGGTCATAGGAATGTGCTGGTGATGCCTTTAGGGCCAAGATCTCACCTCACATAGGCCTATGGACTCAATTTACTCTAATTGAAATCAGTTCAAGTTCTGCTTTCAGGAGAGAGAAGTGAATCCCTGACCATGCAGCACGTTGGCTGCGTAGTGGATCCACCCCAGACTCAGCTGCAATGCTAACACTCACACTGTGTTTTCTTTCAGGCAATACTCATGGATCACAACTGCCCCGTGAAAACAAAAATGTACACCCAGAACAACATCCAATCCTACCCCATAGGTGATGAGGAAGAAGAATATGAAAGTGATGAATAACAGAAAAGCCATATAACATATTTTGGTGTACAAAATGCTGTGGTTCATGTGAAACATCTCATCCAGAAATAGGTTTTAGTTGTACTGTACATTTAATAGTGAAATGGTCAAAACCCCCAAAGGTATATTATTCATCACCTGTGGTTATAAAGCAGATTGCCTTACAAGGGGGAAAAGCCTTTACAGAGGATTTGTATAGTGTTAATCTTCGTGTATTTAATTTGACTGAATATTACACTATATTTTTTATTAAATGTGTAGTATAAATCTGTATAAACATGTGATTTTTAACTATTTGTTTTCTAAAGTCAACTCCTCGACAGTATTTCATGTTTTATTTGGAGTCGTAAGTTACTGTCAAGAGCTTGGATCTTTCTGATCTGATTGGAAATATAGAAAAAAACCAAAGCTGAAAGAAAACCTATCCAATTTGCATCCTCTTAATGGTACCTTTGTGAGTACACTGAGAGTTGGACAGCACTGTCACTTCTTTCAGCTCTACAGGTCATAATAATACAATCAAAAAGAACACAAGGCATAACTTCTTTGCCAATTTAAATAATGAGCTTTCCCTGCTCACTTATGAGTTGGGAGGAAAACAGTTTGTCAAACAGCTGAGTGTAAGTTGTGCAATATGAGCCCCCAAACACACCCCAGTAGGTGTGAATGTGCAGGGAAGTAAGAACAGCATGAGGATACTTTTTGTATTTCTATCTTTTGACTCTTTCAACATATCTCAACTTTTTTTTAGTTGCATCTTAACTGACTGGTTGAGAAAAGCTCTGCAGTATTACAGTATTTACTCTTAGCATGTACTAAAAATGAGCTGCTAACTGCAGCAGCTCAACCAAACAACTCTTACATGCATTTGCATACACATCTAGAAGTTCAGTATGTATTTGTTTTTCAAAAAACAAGGTAAAATATCAACTTTGCTAAAAAAATATGGAAAAAATAACCAGTTTGTTGCCAATCTCTCTTCCCATTTGGGGACACAGTCCAATACAGGTAAAGCACTATATTGGGCAATCCCTATCTGCACTGAGAAAAAAAAAAAAACAACTAGGAAAGAACATGTTTTAAAACAACCCTAATGTCCTTCTCAACTGTGGTGTGTCAATTCATTTGCAAAATCACAATCTTTATGTGCCTTCTTTCATGTAATTGCAGATGTTTTCTGTACTACAGCATAGATACTATGTTTACATATAGTTTTGTAAAGCATATATACTATAGTCAGAAAATATGACAAATCTAGTGGATCAAACTTCAAGTATTTGCTCTGTCAATAATTATGCATCCAGAACGCATTAAAATAAAGTTATCTGACAGAAGTTTATGACCTATTGTAATAAAGTAAAAGAATAAAAAAGAAAGAATCCCCCTCATAATTTGCCTTATGCATTGTGTTTTACTAAGGGGGGAAAAGCCAACAAGTGTTTCAGGTGGTGGGAAAGAACTTCTCAGGACTAGTTCATTTGTAACTCAGGATGAGTATTTTTACTCCAGGCCATAAAGAGATGCAACTTGTTTGATAGCTTCAGTCTGTCCTGTGCTTGCAGCTCTGATGTTTAACTTTTGGGATATAGGTAAGGCCAAGATCTGCAGTACCAGGGGACAACTGGAATGTTCTTTGGCTAAGGGTGAAGAGTCTAAGGAAACAGTGTAAGATGCTTAAATGTTGTGAAAGGCCAAGCAATATATCCTGTGGTTGATTTTAAAAAAATCCACTTAGAGGGTTTTAAGGTGGTGTATTTTCAATTGCATTCTTTGGAATGTATGTAACAGATGGAAATGCTTCTTTCAAAGCTGAGAGGTGGAGACAGACATTAATATGGCATAAACCACAATTCTGTCACATGCTGAGCACTCCACTATCACTGAGTAAGTAACAATTGTGCAGATCAGTCACCATTTATACATTAAGCTCAGATTTGATTGTCATTTGGATACTTGAAACTTTGCCCCAAGAAAAGTTATTTTACTTGACAAAAAAAGTAAACATCAAATAGTTAACCCAATTAAATTCGAAACTAATATACCCATGTTTGAATTCTAAATTATTACAGGACAAGCTCATTTTTTTTTTTCCCAGTGATTAACCAATGTATTGCTTAAATTCACAAGCACAAAAGTAATTCAAACATAGCAACTTATGTGTTTTTAAAAAAATATAGAAGAGCTTACTGCGTGGATTGGCTTTGTATTTTTGAGCACATCAGAATTAAGGAAGAGTTTACATTAATCTCCAATTATGAGGAGACCCAAAGATAGGTTAATTGATCACATTCCTCTTCTGCAGATGGAGCTAGTTCTGCTGGAGCCTTGGGGACCTGTATCTTACCCTGATTTGCTGAGCAGATCCACAGTTCAGCAGCTTCCCCTGCCCTTGCTCTACTCCTGCTCCACCAGAAGTTAGAGGAAGATGGAATTAAGACTCTCAGACATCCACATTTCCCCTCAAAACAGATATTTAGCAGTTGTTTTGGATTGTTGGAGTACTAGGTCACCAAACCCTTTTTTGCTGACAGTCAGAAAGAAATTTTACTAGCAGAAAACATGCAAAAATCCCAAGGAAAATTTTGGTTTCTTTCCTATTTTGTATATTTTTTATCTGTGCCAATTTAAGTGTGACAAAGTCACTTCATTTGCTCCCACTACTTATTCCTCCCTCTGTAATTATAAACTTCCACAGATGTTTATTTCAAATTTGAGGGAAAAACCCCCAAGGTTAGGGAATTACAAGGAAAAGCTGATTAGATAAAAATGAGCTGGTAAACAGTAAGGATTTGTCCATTAACATTTCCTGAAGGACAGGTCAAGTCAGAAGACATTTTCTTGGATGATTTTTGATTTTTCTCCCCTAATGGGGTAGTCACTATCACCAATATTGCCCCTGAATTATTATTTGTGCAGTGCTCAGAGGTCTTAAAAGAGCCCTACAAATATCCTCCTCAGCATAAGATTCTCTAAGCTACACAAAGAAGCAACTGGAATCAGCATTGTGAAGGAAACCTGTCTATTAACACTGTGCAGCATAAAAATAACATATGCAAACAGAACAAATGCAGAAAAGCCCAAATAATCCAGCAATCAGTAGCTTTAATATAAATGTGGTTTTTTCTCCCAAAGATGTTTCCTTTCAGTGGTGGCTTTAAACTCCTGCAGTACAAATGGTTAAAAAATATTGAGACAATGCAAAGAAGTTGATAATTTAGCAAAACTATTTTATTAAAGCATATTCTCATGATAAAATAATAGCCAACAAAATCATATTCGGCAGGTCTTCCGCATGGGGGTGTAGCTGCCACCTAGTCAGATATCATTAAGTCAAGATAATCTTGGTTTCTGTGGTATTCTTTATTTTCAGCTATTTACAGTCAAGCATGAAGCAAAGATTACATCAGGAATGTAGTATTACAATTTTCCCCTCGAGATTCACTGTTTGTCGTAATTAATGCCAGATAGGAATTTATGTTTTCCTTTTTATCATTAAAATACAACTATTTTGCCCTTTTTCCCCATTCGGCATATTTTAAAATATTGCACTACATTTCATTTTAACCTCTTACAATCATCATCATCGTTAGCAATACTATGTGAGGAAAACTATATCCAGCTTTTCTTACCCACTGTATTACACGAGTCAATTGAAAATCATGAGTGTGTTTTTTTTGAAATCAGTATTTGCATTGTTTTCACAGCTCCTTCATGTGGTACCAGGGGTTTAAATGAAGCACTTGGATATATTTGAAAACCTCTATAGTAGGTAAGAGCAAACACTGCTGGGGACTGAATGCAGATCACCACCAATGGTAGGTAAACTGCTGAGAAATGGAGTGGGGAAGTCTTAATATGCATCTCAAGCAAGTTATAGGTTAAATACCTTTTAGTCAACAAGGGAAGCTAATTTTGTGCGATTATTTGCTGAAGCTTCATTTCAGAAGTGTGTCACGTGCCTGTTGAAGCATGGATAGTGTTTTCCATACATCAGCTAAGTAAGTATCAACTGCCCAGAACTCACAAAAAAGTGCAAGTAGTTGCATGAATGGAAGTAACCACTTGGTTTAGAAGCACAAGTATGCTGCTCCGTGGTGAAAGCCACTGCTTCTTAATTTTGCCCATCACAAAATAAACTGAGAAGCAAATTGAAAGGAGAGGTACATTAGAAACGACCTCAAGAATTAAAGGAGTTATTTACCATCTCAAACTCCATTCCCACAAAGGCTTTTTTTTTTCCCTACTACCAGCGATACCAGTGATAATGGTACGAGTACCTAGCACAGTACCTAAAATAAAGATGACATTTTATACAAAATTTCTATACACAGAAGATGAAACAAAGACATGTTTCCAGGAAATAAATAAGAACGACGGCCTCAGCCAGGTGATGCTAAGATCCACAGTTTACACATAGCACAAGACCAGAGAGTTCTGTTCAAAAGCAGCTGGCTGAACTTCTTCCTCATCTCTACTGAACTCACATATTGACTCAAATAAAACATGTTATATACACTATAGGACATTTTGCTGACAAAGGTGATCCTTCTGCTCAGACTGTGTCTCCTGTTTGAGAAGCTGAAAGCAACTTACCACTCCAAGTGTTGAGAGAACATATTTAGCTATTTTGTCCCTTAAGCTTTCCCAAATGATAGTCTGCAGCAAAATATTTAGGTTTTTTTTAGATAACTTAAACCATCCTTACATGAAACCTCCAACCCTTGTGAAGAACAGCTTTCCTTTAGCAGGTTACCAGATAGCATAACAACACTCACACATGATTCTGCTCTGGAAGCTCACCAGCCTCTTATCTTGACAACATTCCCAATTAAATTATGATGAGATACCAGTATGTACTTTGATATCTAATATCATTCAATCAGGATATAATAGCCCAAAGTTCTAAAGAGGAATTTTTTTTTTAGCATAGCTTTACTATATTTCATGTTAATTACGAACTACAAAAAGTACTTGTATTCAACAAAAATATGGAAAACAAA